TCAAAGACGCGGAAGAAAAAAGAATAATAATAAGAAGAAACGGAGCAGATACAATAGGCCTTCGCAGCTTCACTGCTCGGGCCTAAATAATAATAATAAACGGAGCAGATACAATAGGCCTTCGCAGCTTCACTGCTCGGGCCTAATAATAAACGGAGCAGATACAATAGGCCTTCGCAGCTTCACTGCTCGGGCCTAATAATAATCAGAGCAAAAACAAGAGGCCTTCGCAGCGCTTTCGCTGCTCGGGCCTAATAATAATCAGAGCAAAAACAAGAGGCCTTCGCAGCGCTTTCGCTGCTCGGGCCTAATTTAAAAAACAAGCCTTAACACTAAAAACACAAGAGACAAATGTTCCCAGCAGAGCACTTAGAGCTCACCTGCAGGTTTGGTTCCTAGAGGTTCTGAGCAGAATTGGAGGCTAAGCTCTAAGTTCTCAGATTCATTGCTTGAGAAGACAGGTTCTAGTTTCCATCTTCGAATCAAACGCCCTTTCTACTATCATGATACTGTTTCTTTAGGTATAATAGTTCTATGGTTGAAGATGTTGGCCTGAAACTTACGACAAGCATTTTCTTTTAGGGACATGGTCACTGACTGGAAAGGGCCAAACTTTGAGCAGAAAAGTCCTTCTAAACAATATTCGCTTTCCGAAGAACAAACAAAATAAAAAAACCTTTTAAAGCATGTTCACAAAGATTTTTGCGTATAATTGCTCTCACATCAAGCTAATTCTGCAGTTTTATTCTTAACCATTTCAGTACCTTCCAGAATGAGCCATTTCAGGGCTCTGTCCCTTTGAGAAAACAAGATGGAGTTGGCCACGCCCACCCCTGCTCAGGCTGCTATAAGCTGAGAAGCTCCCATACCTGGGAGGGGCTCAGAGTAGAGCAGATGCTTCTCCAGCAGCAGCTCTCTCCTGCAAGAGTGAGGTAGTTCTATTCTACTTTCCCCATTTGTGACATCACAAACAGGAACATTTTGAAACGGTTTCTTGTAGGCACATAGTTCCTGAAATCAAACATTGACAGAAAACAGATGGATTTTTTTCCTTTGGAGTGTTTATAGAGGCAGTAAAGATCCACATGGAGCACAGAAGGGTGTAAATGTAGGTTCTGAGTAACATGTCTCCTTTACAACCAAATCTGTAAGGAGACAGCAGCTGAGAGGACCGAGCCATCGTATCTCCTGGTCAATTCTCCTCCTTCTAGAGACTTGTTTAGTGGAAACACGACTTTTTCCTGTTGCTGATGCTTTGCTCTCACTCATGTTTAGAAACGACTGTCCTTCTCTGTTTGTCTCTGTCCTCTTAGACTCCACTCATTCGAGGCAGAAGATTCATCCTGAGCCTGGTTCTGCTGGAGTTTTCCTGCCCACCGTCGCCCTCATACCGTGCGGCTCAGACTGCGTTGAAGCCCTCACAGCTGTCACATTTAGTGCATTTATGTATGTGACGCTGAAGAAGCTTCCTGTTCACACCTCTGAGCTGCTGCAGAACAATCTCCCCATGGAGACACACCACATCCTCTATCGACCCGCTCTTCAAAAACATGTAATCCACTTACACAGGGCCGCATGTACATCAAGCACCCCCTGCTCCTCACTCTGCTCACCCTTTAATATCCACACACATACATGCACATCTGGCCTGAGGGTAAATTAAGCCCTAGCATTCCCACAGAGGCTAATCTCCATCCACTTAGAGGGCTGTAATATTTAATCAGAGGAAGTGGACCGACTGCCAGCGCCACACGCTGCGGCGTGGGTCATATGTTCACAGGAAAGGCCAGCCCAGAGGCGACGGAGGGGAACTCACGGCTAAAAGCCACAAAGTACTCAACCACAGAGACACATGCGTCGCTCTGCGCTCCTCAGAAGAGAAGGAGAGGGAAGGGCTGGTGCTCAGAGGATGTTTAATGAAACAGGAAGTGTTTACTAAACTTAGCTTGGCAAGCGTGTGCTGCCAGAACCATCTAAATGGAGAACATGAATAAAACATGGAGATACTGTTTTTATTCAAGAAATCCCTTTTATGACACGAAACCAATAATTCTGATTATTATCTACATTAAATGGTTGAGTTAGGATGGGTAAATGTTGAAATTGATTGAAGAGGAATGTGAATGTTTAAATCACTTTACGACGACATGTTAAACATGATTATTAACAGTATTAGCTGGGAAATATTCCAGTCATTTTCTCTGGGTCCTATTCAGCAAATTTATGTTGAATTCTCCTGAAATATTCTAAATCAGTAAGCAGAGCTTAGCTTGAGAAACAGATTTTATTTAATGTTGAAGTATTTCCTGTCAATCCGTGTCAGGGATAATCTCATTTAAAAAAGGTTTAAAGTGGCTTTTTTATTCTATTTTTTATTTATGACAAGTCGTATTTTTCTCTTGAAGAAGTTGTTGCGTGTTGTGTGTAAAACTCCCGCAGGACCACCCCTTGTTCTTGATGTTGTTTCACCTTTACTTGAACAAAACTAAAGGTTAGAGCCTCTTTTAGGATGACACCTTCGTGCCGTGTTCTCTTACGCTGCTTCGCTGTGACGTTTTTGGACACGGGAAGCTCAGACACGGACGGTTCTGTGTCCGCCGTCCTGCCTGGAGGTATCACACTGGACCCGGCCGACTCACACGCTCACACCTGGGAAAAGGTCAGGCCTCTCACCATCAGTGTGAAAATCCCAAACTGGAACACGCTCTGTTGGTCTTTTAGAAACAAATGCAGCTGCTGCTCAGCCCTAAGAGGCTTCCACTGTGATTTTGGTTTTCAGAAACATTATTTGCGTAGCTAAATGGTGAGCGATGAAGGTGCCACATGGGTGGCCGTTGTAACGCCTGCTCCCTGATTCAGGCTGACTCTAATGGGAAGGCCTGGTGAATTTTTCATGCAGCCCAGAGGGGGATGATGAGCGTCGTCATCGGCAGATTACAACCTGGCAGAAAAGGGAAAGAGAGTGAAAAAGGAGCCTCCATCGGGGTCCAGGTCCCTCCCAGAAACAGAAAAGTTTAAATAAATCAAATTAAAATAAATCTTTCTGGTGGGGTTTGAGTAAAATTTCCCTTTATTTGCATTTTGATGAGGTTTAAGGACAAAAATCTTAATGAATGCTCTTTTTTTAAATCACAAGTTCAGATGTTTTAACTGTGCATGAATTTCTAAATGGATATTTAATCAAAAGTTGAGGTTTTGATCAAAATATAAAAAGAACTCCCTCCTGAAGATCCTCCTTGAGCCCTAATGAATAAAAGCAGACTGAATAATGCCCAAGATCTCAATTTAATGGGCTTGAAATTTCTGCAAGAAAGCTCTAAAAAATTATCCATCTGTTCGATGCGCACATGCCACAGCTCACCCGGATAGCTCATAGCACTGTCTTGCATATGCAAATATGTTTTGCCTGGAAATCTATTTGAAGTTGCTTGAAGGAATCCAGAACGGCGTCCTTCTGTCTCCCCTTCCTGACTCGCGTGGGGGCTCCGTCTCCTCTCGTGTGGAAAACATTTTCACCAGCTCTGCTCGCGTGGACATCCACGCCACGCCTCCATCGGCTCCCACCATGGGCCAATATGCAGATCATCACTGGGGCCCTCACACCGGCGGCCCTGCCCGCAAGCACACCAAGATGCCTTGCAACTGTGTGTTCAGTTGGATAATACATGCAACGCAGCGGCACAGGCAACACTCATCCTCCCTCTTTTCCTTCTGTAGGAAAAAAGCAGAAAACCTGAAAAAGACGTTTTGATTTAAGGTTTAAGTAACTTGTGTTTACTGAGTAAATAGATTAAAAACTGTTAAATCATTTTAAAATCAAATGCATTCAAATTTGAAATGATTTAATATGCTTTGCATAATCATAAATGAAGAATTGTTGCTGCTTTTGGATGGAGATGCATAAAAAAAAAGAGTTAGTCTTCATTTATGTGTGTGTTTGCATACCAGAGGGCTGAGAAGGCAGATTTGGGCAGATGGTCCACAAAGGTGTTGCCACACAGTGAGTGGGCACTGCGATTGATGCATTGCAACATCCAAGAAGGTGGAACATTTGGCTGCTGACCTGCAGTCAGAGCTCATTGGCCCTGCCTCCTCCTTATTTAGCCGCTACGAGAGAGCCGGCAGCTGGTTTGTTATGAATAAACACACATTCAGAACTTTCCCACCCTAAAGGAAGCCTGCTCGGGATGCACGCTGCAAACTTCTCCCTTGTCTCTTTGCAAGGAGGTCACGATGGTGGTGCAGGCAGGGAGGGATGTGTGCACGGAGCCGAGGCGGCACACAGGGTCACTGTTACACTTGGATGGAGAGGATCTGACCCTGAGCCTGTTCTGAGGGGCCTTTGTCGGCGAAGCAGCTCCATATGTCTTGATTTGTGCTAGTAATGTGTAACACATGTGTCTTCCATTTGTTAGCCATGTGGGATTAAGGAACACTCAGAAATATGGAGAAGCACCAAGGTAACATGTCTATCAGTAGGAAAATGTTGCTGGGATTAAAAACTGACATTTTATATACAAAATAAAATAAAAATATAAAAATAGATTATAATGTAAAAAAAATAGCTGTGCAAGTTTTTAAATAAGAAACGATGTTAGTTGTGCACATGCAAAGATTTTATTTCAGACCCAAAAGCATTTTTACGTCAGCTGAGTCCCGCTAAATTCATGAGAGGATTTTTAACAAGATTGTTTGTGTTTGAGCTCACAGAACAAACATCACCTGTTTTTATTCCTTATTGTTTATCACCAGTTTTATAAATAAACAGATTTATTGGTATTACAGTTTTATAATATGTTGTTCTTTCTCAGTTCTAATAAATATATTAAGGATTCCAGTTGTTTACTTTTAATTATTTTTTGTATGTGTGTTTATTATCAGATTATAAAAACGTTTTCATTTAATTTCATTTTTATTTTGAGTCGGTAATGTGCCATAAAATAAACAATTAACAACAGAAACTACAAAAATAAGATATCAGAACAAATGCTCAAAACGGAGAAAAGAACAACAAAAGGTTTTATTTGGTATTTTATATTTTACACGCAAAGAAGCCAAGTTGAAGACATTTTAGTGTATTTAAAAATCTTTTTTACTTAATTAGTTATTGGTGTAGCCAAATGTGTGACTGAAGCAGTTCTATGGTGAGGCAAGGTAAAGAGCGCCACCCTGTGGACACATGTGGTATTTAACTTCCATGACAGACATGCAGCAACACAGAAACCAGAAATTCCGTTACAATGGTCAAGTAGAAAATAGCGACAAAATTAAGAAATTCAATTAAAGAGCAAGTCACTTCCAAATCAACTTTTTTTTCTGAGAAACTATATAATTGCGTGTCTAATCATGCTGCAGACACGTGTACCCAATAGTTTTGCACTTCAGTGCATTTTAGTTAAAATCTAAAATTTCTGCCTAAAACTGTCAGTGTTGTGCCGTTGTCAGGTAAAAACTCTGCACTGAATTTGAATTTAAATCGGCCATCTCTATTGGCTAAGAGGTACCCTAGAACGTTAGCTGGTACCATATGATGTCACAATGTCGTTGTGAGCCTGTGTGTCTGTGTGTGTGTATTTGTTAGCGGCCCCACCCTCTCGGTCTGCTAGGCAACAGCATTTGTTGCATTTTTCAAACAGGAAGTGGGAGTGGAGTAATACTCTGGTAGGGGGTGACTTGCTCTTTAAGCAACCTTCATAGATCTAACACCCAGTTAGACAACAACCACAGCTTTATAATTAAATAAGTAAAAACGATTTATTAATAGAAGGAAAAGACCAGTTAGACTCTTTATCTAACATGAACTGTTCTTTGGAATTACATCCTATAAATTTAGATGAGCTTGGTACAGAATATGGATGTATTATTATTATTATTATTGTTGTTGTTGTTATCTGTCGATTCTATTTTTTGTGATGTCATGTATTTTCTAAATCTACCTGAACATCTCTTATTTGTATTTGTCTCTTGGTCCTCCAGTTAGTTAGTCCCTGTGTTCTAGACAAGCCACAACCCCAACACCTGCCCACATCCACACATTAAACTTTAAACAGACATACAGAGTTATAACTCTTATACAGAGCTTTGATTATACTATTGAGTGTGTTTTTGGTACATTTTACCAATATATGCTTGGTAACCTCACTACCTCATCATAGAGAAGAATGTGGGGACCCTCTTAGGGGTCACCAATCAGGAACCACTGCTCTAGATGCTCAACTTCACTTCCACCATTTCACACATAAAACGATAGATAAACAACTTCCATTTCTGTTTCCTTAGAAGGAACTGGAGCAGGGCTACACCATCCTGGTCTCCTAGGGCCACTACCTGCGTGTTGATCTTCACCAACTCTCCTAGTTTGAACAACAAGCTTGTGAAGAACAATTGAACCAGGTGTGTTGAAGCAGGAAACAACTAGAACATGCAGGGCAGCAGCCCCACAGGATTCCATAAAGAATCCTAAATCACTGAAAACAAAACAAACAAGAAGCTTCGTGTCAAAGCAGTTGATTCAGTAGAGTATTATGCTTATTTGCAAAATGTTGTCAAGTCTAAGAAAACCAGTTCAATCTTCAACATCATCCTGGTTAGGACAGTGGGGGACAGTGGGACGGAAAACATCATTTAACAGGAACACATTTCCAGCAGAACCAGCTAGCTCCTAGCGGGAGCCGCTGCCGGGCTTTTAGCCTCTCTCAGGTTTGAGTGCATGTTCAGAAACTTCACACAGCCTGTATGCCAGGTGGGTCTTGTGACCTTTTCAGAGGATTTGCCACGTTTTGCATAATCTTTTTGTTCCTAATGATGACTCATTCAGTCCTGACGGACTGTTATGTTAGCATAAACTTAAAATGATTTGGTGATGAACTGCTGTTAAATAGACCAGCCTTCGCTCTGGTTTAATCACGTGTGTTCTTACAGATATTCAGGATGAAGTTTTCAGATATAAGATTAAATGTGAGGATGAGAATCGTTTAATTATAAGTACAGTTTATTTTTGAGTGAGTAGCGTTGCAGAAAACAAGAAACCTCCTTGTTGTCCTTTCTTGGTTACTCAGAGGCTCTGTGTGACCCAGCACAGACATGTTCTCTGGAACTGAACCAGGGAGAGACAGAGACACACCAGTATCAGTCCAGCACTCCTTTCCACAGCCTGACCCCTGTCTGCACTGGACTGCCCGTCACGTCAGTCATCATCTACCACCATCACATTCCCATTCAGCTCGTACTCTATGGTGCCCCAGTTGAAGATGTTTCCCTTGGGTACCTTGTGTCCGTAGTGCCAGGCCTGGATCATGCTCCTAGAAAGCACAAAGTCCCACATGTTCAGGTCGGTCAGCTCTCCTACGAAGCTCTGCGAGGCCTCCAGGCCCCCCAGGTGTTTATCTGGGTCTTGGCCCAGCAGGATGGTGCCTTTGGGACGGATGCTATGGCCAGGTTTGTAGACCTGGTAGGTGCTGCGTTTCCCTTCCACCCAGAAAGCAGCAAGGCCGGTGCGAGACTCCCAGGTGAGGCAGAGGCTGGTGCGGAAGGTGCTGAGGGGGGGCAGGTGATAGAAGGCGCCATCGCCACTCATATAGAAGGAGATGCGGCCGTCTTTTTCACGCCACACGTTGAGCTCATCATAGTTGGCTGTTCGGTAGGCGAACAGGATGATCTGACGCTCCTCTGGCAGCTCAGTGGCCACACGCAGACAGAGGGTGAAGGCCCGGAGCGCCATCTCCTTTTGCGGGATCAGGGCCACGAAGCTGAAGTCCGTCTCAAACGGGAAGACCAGGACTTTTTCATTCAGGCCCACTAAAGTGAATCAAACCACACAACCCAACAAATGAGTTAGACGCAAAATATTTCAGTCAATTTTTCACTTCCTTTAGTTTTAAGGTGGCCATAATAACTCTCCGATCGTAATCGATCTAGGAATGCTAGCAAACAGTGGGCGGCGATGTCTCAAAAACAGTACAAGCCTGAATCTGCAGTCGGCCTGAATCTGCGGTCTCCGGGTCTGCAGCGATACCCTCCTCCCAAATGCTGCAGCCTTTATGAACTCCTCAAACTAAAAATGTTAAGTTGGTTTTATTCAAAAAATGAAAAGTCCAACTTGTTCAAAGTGGAAGTGGTGCGCTGTTCCAGCTCAAAGCTTCAAGTGGTGCAACAAATAAAAGTTTCCCATTGTTTATTTGTCTTACTGAATTAAAGCTGATTTAGAGAATCTGCAGAACAAGCTAATGCTAACACTCAGCCCTCTGCTCAGGTATCTTCCCTGAGACGCTTCTGCAGGAAATGGAAAACCACCGTGCCCGAGAAAACGAGATAGCGTTAAACACCAGTCACCGTTGTCCAAGTTCAAACGTCTTTTGTTGTCCGTGACTCAAATGGTGTTTTTCATTTTGGGACTCTGGTAGTTTGTCCTACAGTTGAAGTGGTAGCAGCCGGCTGTTTCTCCTTCTCTGATGTTACTGAGCGGAGTGGTTTTCAGTTCAAAACGTATTATTGGCAGAGGCTTTTAGACAATTGTGAAATAACCACTTCATTATTTATATTTTTTAATCTCCACAATATATTCATAGCTAAACTATGTTAGAATGTTAGGAGGCATGAAAAAATGTTTTAAGTTAATTACTTTTTCAAATTTGCAATTGCAGCTTTAACTACTGGATCTTGTTTACTTGTGGCAAATACTCATTTAACTTTATTTTCATGCATACAAAACTTTGTGATTCTTGTCACATAAAAATCAACTATAATCCCTAAATACCCTTAAAAAATTATTATTATTATTATCAATTATTATTATTATTATTATTAACTATTATTATTATTGTTATTATTATTATTTGTAGTAGTAGTAGTAGTAGTAGTAGTAGTAGTAGTATAAAACATGCCGATAAGTTAAGAATGTAAATATACTATTATTTTATACTGTCTAATATATGAAAGACAAAGTGACTGAGGTTTGTAAAGTTCAGCTAATTTATTTTTGGGAGCAATGACACTAAACCGGGACTGTTTGGACTCTTGGATGAATAGTAGAAGGATGTAGCATTTCCAGTCTGTAGATAAAGTAATAACTGACGTGTTTTTCCAACAATAACAGAGTCAGTTGAAACGTGGTTTAGAGGGTTTGGATTTCCTGAAGGGTTTAACTTCTCATCTCTGGCCCTGGATCCAACGCTCTTTTGAAATCAGTGTTTCCAGTCAATACAATTACCCAAAAGCTGTTTTAACTAAATAGTAGATAAAAATACTAGAAAGATAAAAGAATATGGATTTTTTTTCTTTCCAAATTTACTAAACTTTGACACTTTTGTTCTAGTTAGGAGGATTGGAATTTTTAAAATACGTGTTAGGGTTTGAATTTAAGCACAAACTGGTATTATAGAGCCGTGTTTATAAAAACAAAACATCTTCACTCTCACCTTGTGAGGCTGCAGCAGGAGTTAACGTCAAAGCAGCTGCACCAAGCAGAACCACAGGAATCGCTGCAGTGATGATTCTCTGAAAACACCCACAGAACATTCTGACATACCATAATATCCATATGATGTTACTCACTGAAAATGCACAAGATATCAAAATTCAAAATGTGTGTGTGGTGTTAAAGTAGAAAGGATTGTTTTTACCATTTTGTTGTTGTTTAGTGGTTATTCTGAGGATAGATCAGCTCTTCCTGCTGATGACTCGTGACCCCGTCCTCTTCCCTCCTAGCACAGACCGTGATGTCACCTCTGCGGTCGGCGCTCTGACAATAGACCTGGTGTGTGAAGTCTGACTGACACTGTCCACGTGACATTGTTTTTATTTGTGTATGTTATAAACCATTTCATAGGATTTGCAGTAGAATATAAAATAAACTCAAGTCTTAAATCATGCTTTATTACTTTTGTGATTTGTAGCAAAGTTGAAGGATTCCAGATAAAAGTCCAGTGTGTGTCAATAGCACAAGCTTTAAGGATCAAGGGATACATGTGTGCCTGTTTTCAGTGGTGGCTAGCAAACTCCTGGTAGGTCTATGCATGAAATATTTCCTTTCTTAGTCTGTTATATTTAATAAAATGAACATCTGGAAAATGACTACAATTCCAGCACATTCATTTATGTCTCTTCTTCAAATAAGCTGGTACAGATGAAGTTGATTATCAAATTTACAGATAAATTAGACTATAATAAAAACAATATTCAAATAAATATGCAAGCCTGTTGTGTACACCTGTAACAGAAACCGCAGTCTCCAAAGCTGACACGTTTTCTTCTGAAATAAACACTCTTCTCAGTCCCAAACATAATGGATCGCCTGATGGCCTGGTCTCCAGCTACAACAGCAGCCTCTCCACCCTTCTGAATATCCATGCCCCACTAAAACCAGACCTGTTTCATTCACCCGCTCCTCACCGTGGTTCACCCCTGCCCTCTGTCAGCTCAAAGCCCATGGACATCAACTGGCTGCACAAGAAAACTGGACTAACCATACACAAATAAATGTACTCTGCTCTACAAGGACCACCTCTCATCTTCTAAATCTGCTATTATTCTTATTTAATTCATTCCAATCAAAACATCTCAAAAACTCTATTTTCTCTCCTGCACACTCTCACAAACCCCCTGACTCCCTCCCCCTACATCTACACTCCACTGATTTTTGTAACTCACTCACATCCTTTTTTGTTTCAAAAATCACCGACTTCCATCAACACCTGACCTCTCGAGGTGCTCCAGTATCCAAAGTGGACCGCACCGCCTTCTACTCACTTCACACATTTTCCAGCTTCACCCCTCCCTCAGTCCAATAAATCCTTGAACTTATCCTCAAATCCAAACCATCCTCCTGTCAGTTCGATCCCATCCGACACAGATCTTGTCAAAACCTGCATTTCTTCTCTTGCCCCTCTCATAACTGATATTATTCAACATTCTCTAAGATCTGGAATTGTCCCTCTCACTTTCAAAACAGCATCCATTCTGAAGAAACCTGGCCTAGACCCGACAAACTTCAATAATGTACATCCCACCTCCAATCTACTATTCATCTCTAAAGTTCTTAAAAAATCAGTTGCATCTCAATTTCACAACCACCTTATCACCAATAACATCCATGAATCTGGCTTCCGTCCTCTCCACAGCACTGAAACAGCCCTTCTGAAAACAACCTTCTCACTGTCTCTGACTCAGGTTTATTGTCCATTCTCATCCTCCTTGATCTCACAGCAGCATTTGACACCATCTCCCATAGCATTCTCCTCAGCAAACTTATCTAGGTACCACACACACACACTCGTCTTGCTTGGTTCACCTCCTAGTGGAGAACTTTCAACTGAGGTCATTCAAATCCAATGGTTTTCCTGTCTCCGCTGGTGTGCCCCAGGGCTCTGTCCTGGGGCCCCTTCTTTTCATCATTTACCACCTCCTCCAAGGTTACATCTTCCGTAAACACAAAATTAATTTTCATTGTTATGCCGATGACACCCAGCTCTACCTCTCAACCAAACCCATAACTTCACTTCCACCTTCCTCCCTGACCCTCTGCCTCCAAGAAATTGATTCCTGGTTCACTTCCAATTTCCTCAAACTCAACATTTCTAAAACTGAAGTCCTCCCGGCAGGCACACCTAATACTCTCTCCAAATCTAACTTTCCCCTTCACTATTGACAATTCAACAGTTACTCCCTCTCCTCATGTTGAGAGTCTGGGTGTCATGCTTGACAGCACACTTAAACTCACATCAACAATATTACCTGGTATGCCTATTTTCACTTGCATAGCATCTCCTGACTCCATCCATCACTTATACCACTGCCGTTCTCGTCCACAGCCTCTTCACATCCAGGATAGATTACTGTAACTCACTTCTCTTTGGTCTCCCCAGCAAATCCCTCCATAAACTAACTGCAGCTTCGACAGATAGCTGCAGCACATGTCATCAGGACTCATATCTCTCGTCACATCACCCCCATTCTGCAACAACTTCATTGGTTACCCATCAAACAGAGGATCAATTTCAAAATTCTGCCTATCACATACAAAGCTCTTAACAACCTTGCTACACCCTACATATCCGATCTCCTTCACATCACCACTCCTGTCCGTTCACTCCATTCCTCTTCTGCTCCCCAACTCTTGGCTCCCCCAGGTCGCCTCGTCACCATAAGGAGTAGAGCATTCAGCCGCTCTGCTCCCCACCTCTGAAATTCTCGTCCCCCTAACCTTCACACCACTCATTCTCTCCCGTTTTTTAAATCAAAACTAAAATCCAACCTCTTCTGACAAGCCTTTAGCACCAGTTCAATGTCAGTATTATTTTAAAATTGTCTCATTAGTGTTTTAAATCTTTTTGTACTTATTTTATCTCCACTGTTGTAAAGTGTCCTTGGGTGTCATGTTAGGCGCTTTTAAAGGAAATGTATTATTTTAAATAAAATGTATTATTATAAAATATCATCATTATTGTCCATATTTGGTGTTTTTCCATTTGAATTTTTCCTTAGTTTTTCTGCCAACTTGAGTTTTCAGTCTCCCAACAGCTGTGTCTCACTTTAACTGCTTAAAGCGTGCACATCCCAAAGCACAATACTCAGCCCTACCAGTACTAACACAAAATAGATTTTTTTTAATTAGATATCCTGTTTTAAATGTTATAATCACACTACAGCAGCAGCAACTAGTATGATTTCAGCTCTGCCTGGTTAACTCAGAAGTGAGTGTGTGGGTGGGTGGGTGAGGGGGGGGGGAGAGAGGAAAGAAGATTTAATACCTTCTAGCAAGCTAGTTATTTCTTGTAGCAGGGACACTATTGGCCAGCGACCCAGACACAATAAATTCAGTGATGCTAATTGGCTAGAAATCTCCAGGTCTCCCTAGCAACCAAACATAATTGGTTGGTTAACTGCAGCTGAATTTCATAAGTTTGTTGGAGGAAATTCACTGTTTATTAAGAGACAGCTGGTCAAAATGATGTTGTTAAAAATAACTCAGACTGCATGTAGGCACACATAATTAAGCAAAATCGACACATTTATAGTAAATTTATGTATAAATTGTCATTTAGTTTTTACATTTTAGATTTTTTTCTCTTTTTGCAACAGGGTGGGCAGCGCCCTAGCACCCATCATGGATGAGCCACCACTTCCGGTTTACAAAAAGCCACCTCGACTGAATCCTCTTGATGTGGAGAAGCAGCGGTTCTGCTCCAAGCCCCTCCCAGAGCTCACAGCCACCCTGTGGAGAAAACTCATTTTGGCCGCTAAAATAAGCAGTCTCGTTCTGTCAGTCACTCATGACCATAGGTGAGGGTAGGAATGTAGATCGAACGGTAAATCGAGAGCTTTGCCTTCCAGGTCAGCTCTCTCTTCACCACGACAGACCAGTGTTGGGGTTATTAGGAGCGAACAATTAGTAAGCTTCAACTTACTTTTGGATTCTTCAATAAATTCTGTAAATATGGCAATATTTACTGAATTATTAATTAATTAAGATATTCTTAGATATACGGGGCACCATTCCCCTTTTTCCGGGGAAAAATTGAATCCAAAACTCTTATCAGTCTTTCTTGAAGTTCGTAGAATCCTTGGAGCAGAGACTTCTCTTCGACACAACAAAGCTACTGGAGACGAAAATCTGAATTTTATAACGTTTAATTAACAATTTGTCAAATGAATAAACAGTGGCATAAATGAATAATAACCATGTGATATAATAAAAGGATGTATATTCAAAATAATGTTCAAGGTGTTTTGTGTGTATGTAGGATGTATGAATGGGGTCCTTTGTTCTCACAAAGGAGTAGTGTGTGTGCGTGTGTATGGATTCAAAATGGAGTCTTGAATACAAGATGGCTGACTCCTTTGTCTGGCTAAAGTGTGGGTGGCAACTTGCACTTTAACTTCCAAAGCACTTAGAATCAGTAGTAACTTAACCTTAAATCACTCAAAACATTTCAAAGGATCATGCAACAACACAAAAGATTAATCACGAGTTAATATCCTTAGTTTATCAGCCTGGCCATGGCCGAACATTTAAAGATACCAAACAATGATTAATAAGCAGTTTATTCTTTCAAAATGACCCGAAGGACGAATTTGGAACGAAAGAGGAAAACACGAAGCTACTTTTTTTAAGCAATAGCGCGGTTTTATTGCTTATTCTGGACTATAGAGGAAACGGGAGAAGAAAAGAATGAGAGAAAAATGAGTTTTCTGATCACCAAAAGAGCGAGGCGTCCCTCCCCCTTTTGATTTGACGGTTCTCCGTGTTTCTCCGCAGTTTTCAGCGTCATCCGCCGGTTTGATGCTTTCTCCGTTGTTTGGCTCCACGAGTGTTTCTCCACGGCTGGACACAAAGAAAACGAAGTTCCTTTTGGGCTGAGTTTGACAACTTACAGCGTTTCTGAGAGCTGGATGGAGTTGTTGTTTCCCTCCGCTGGTTCTGTGTCCTCAAACATCAGCTGGAGGGGAGCAGAAACGAGCAGATCAGCGGTCCCGTGGGCTCAACTTGGCTCTTAGAGCTTCCGCGTGCTCAAAGAAGTCGGAGCGTTCGACAAGCGTGTCCTCACCGCCAGGTATCCTGGGCAAAAGAACGAGGTTTCTTTGTCTCTGCTGAAGATTTATGGTCTTAGTTCGCGGGAAAAGCTCCACGGCTTCCCGCACATGCGCAGAACGTGTTTCTGGTACTAGGCGGTGGCGTCATCACAATGCTTCCGTGTGCAAAGCATCATGGGAAATGAAGTTTCTTGGCGCTGATGTGATTATTTGCTTTCCAGAGCAATTTAAGCACAG